AGTGGCAACATTGTTGAAAAATTTTCACCAGCTCTTCCTCAGAGTTCTATCTAGAATGTATAAAGAACTTAAAAAAATCAGACCTTCCAAATTTAAAGACCCAATCCAAAAATGGGCATCTGAAATGAGCAGATATTTCTCAAAGAAGTAGAAATAGCAAATAAACACATGAAAAAATGTTCAACATCACTGGTCATTGGAGAGATTTAAATGAAATAACAGTGAGATTCCACCTCACCTCAAAGAATGGTTATCATGCAATCAACCAATAACAAATGCTGGAGAGGTTGTGCGGAAAGAGGAACCCTGCTCCACTGCTCTTGGGATTGCAGATTGGTGCAACCACTGTGGAAATCAGTATGGAGATACCTCAAAGAACTAGGATTGGAAGTCCCATTTGATCCAGCTATTTCCAGGTATCTTTCCCCAAAGAATTAAAAGAATCATATCACAGTGATATATGTATGCCCACGTTCATAGCAGCACAATTTGTGATAGCTAAAACTTGGAAGCAGCCCAACTACCTATCAATAGGAGACTGGATAATGAAAATGTGCTTTTTATAAAATGGAGTACTGCTCAGCCACAAGAATGAGAAGCTAGAGACATTTTTAGCTAAATGGATGCACAGTGAGGTGATACTCTTAAGGGAAATAAATAGGACACGTGTAAATACTGAATAGTTTCTCTAGTGTGAGAAACTGAAAGTGTAAATAATGGCTAAAAGGTATAATAGGAAGGGATAATAGGAAATAGGAAGAAAAGGTCCAAAGGGAGATGGAAATTGTAAGGAGTAGGGGAAAGGAAAAAGGGAATTCAATTAATATGAGAAGAATAAAAAATGGAAACAAAGTCTTTGTAGATAGGAGTGGAGGGATTGAAGGGAGAGCAGGTGAATTGGGAAAAATAAGAACCAAGATGGACTATGTAAAGGTGCAAATTTCTAATGATGAATGTCATTATATTGTATACCTTAAATGTACCAAAATTTAATTAATTGAAAAAACAGTGGAAGGCAAAGAGAGGGAGGGAGTTGAAGGCACCCACAATTATTGGTAGTTGTAGGGAGTTAAAAACACACACAGATGTTGCTTAATTTGTAGTGCCTTATAAAATCCAAGATAAGTAAGGAGGGAGAAGAGGTAAGTTTAGGTAAGATTAGGAGTGACAGGATAGGTAAGGAGTATCATTTGACTCCTTTTTTTTCCTTGGTACCAGGGATTGAACTCGGGTCCTTGCACTTGCAAGGCAGGCCACCGAACCGCTGAGCTAAATCCCCAGCCCCATATTTGGCTCCTTTTGGGTTGGAGTAACTTTGAAGAAGGAAGCACTGGAGGTAATTATTTGGAGGGACAGAATGTTGTGGTCACAGCAGGATGTGCAAAGTTTAGATTTTGGAAGATGCAGTTATTGTAAATGACAAATTCTGGAGTATGACTGACAAAACCTCTGGAAGTGAGGATTTTGAGAAATAAGAGGCCAGAATATTTACATCATCTATGTAGGTATTCAAGTCACTAAGAAAGATAACAGGAGTAAGTGGGACAGTGAAAGACAGTAACCCAGGAGCTACATTTTTCAGTGACCTAAGAAGAAATTAGAGTACTTGAACAAGCAGTGATATGACCCAATGACATTACATTTTTTTTTTTTTAGTAGTGGGAAAAGAATCCAGGACCTCTGCACTGAGCTGAATCCCCAGTTCCCTTTTAATTTTTTTTAAAAAGACAAGTTGTTACTTTCCCAGTACAGGCTTGAACTTGTGATCCTCCTACTTCATCCTCTCAGAAAGGAAATGTGGTTTTCAAAGAGAAAGGAGGCCAATGATCTGGAAAAGGCTAGGAGGAGTGATAAGGGCATTTACCCTAATTTCAGGGCCAGAGAAATTTGAAGTGTTGAGAGAGACTGCTTAAGGAAACAACAGGACAAGGACATTCTCAAGGGATGGAAAGTTTCAGTTAGGGAAAATAGAAGTGAAGAGACTATACAGAGAAGAAATTTAGGCTGCTGAGGATTTTGAAGATGAAATACCACTTTGGGTAATGAGAGAGATGATCTAGAGTGTTTATAATTCTTGTGGTGATTAAAGTAGTCAGCGAGATGACTACTTTAGCATGCATAAATCAGTCGAGTTCTCTTAAGGGAGGAGGACCAGTAGTTCCAACAACTACATCCTTTGGACCTGGTATCATAATGTTTGAGCAGGGGTTGGAAGAACCAGAACATCCCTAGGTCATGCTGCACCTTGTAGAGTATATTGAGGAGTTTGAAATTTCAGTAATGAGAAGACATCAGAAGTTTTAAGAAAGAGGGTGACATGATTTTATTTATATTTTCAAAAGATCAAATGGTGAGAGATATCTTCCTTATTCTTTTCTTACTATGGATTCTTGGGAATAATTGGTTCTGCAAAATTTTCTTAGCAAATCCAGTTTATAACTTGGGTGACACTTGGAAAGAAAATCTCATGTTCCAAGAGGGGGAACACAGTCCAAAGAGTGACATGGACAAGTCTTGCTTGGCAAGCAAATGAATATTTTAGGGGTTCCTCACAGGGCTGTGGGCAATTTGTGGTTCGTGGCACAAATCGCCAACTCTCTGTGCTAAACTACTTTTACAGAGCACTAATTAAAACAGAAAAAGCAGGATGAAAAGCAATATGGGTCCTTGGAAAAGTTTTGTGTGCTCTGCTACTGCCCCAGCACCCATCCCTTCGTATCAGGAAACTGCCAGTTTCAGCAAGCCCTGTCTGACTGCAGTGACATATGAACTTGTTATGTTGTAGTCTGGCACATGGCTTCTGCACTTGGAGGGGCCTGGGGCCCCCACTGACTTTTAAACAGGTTGGAGCAAGGAGAGGGTGTAGTCCAAGACAGAATTCTCACGTCAGTGATGTATTCATCTTTAGCTAATATGAATTCCTATGAATTCCCCTGAGAAAAAGCATAAGACAGTTCTTAAAATATATTAAACAAGGCAACATTGTCAGAGGATTTATTTGTAGACATCTCTACAAATATGGTTCAAAACGTTTAGAAGAGAAATAATTTGGTCATTTAAAAACACAGGTAGATGATGGAAAAATCTCATGAAAAATTACTCAGACCTTAGGTAATAAAGACATTATTCAGTCATCCATTTAGTCCTTCAGTAATTGAACATTTGCATCCTGGTGCTGTTATATGCAGTAGGAAAATTATTCCTCCCTCAACCCTGGGAACCACAGCCACAGATCTGCAACTTAGCCAGTGGTCAGAGCCCCCACCTCTGCCCCCATTCAGCTCATGACTGAATCCTCATTGGAAACTTTTTGGAGTCAAGGATGGCAGCAAAATGCTGTTTCCTACATGCTGATCTTTAGGGTCTTGATGTTTCCTCTGAGAGAGAAAAAATAAATAATATTCCACATTGCTCAGAAAAGTTAGAATGTGGAAAAAGAAAAAGCATCTTGAGAAAAGTCAAGAACCATCCAATGAAGTAATCTGGCTTTTTTGCATGATTTCAATTCCTAAAGAAATTCATATTGTAAGCCTTCAAACTAAGCTTGTTGAGAGCTTGAGAAGCAGGGGATAGGTTCAAGCCAAAGGTTACTTCAAATGCTTAGAAATGTGAGGACGGCTTATGCTAAAAACAGTTAGAATAGCTATGTGGCTCAGTGGTTAAGCAAGTGGGCTCTGGCACTGGATTTGGTTTCTGATTCTCATTCAGGCACTTAGCTGCATGACCCTGCACAACTATTTACCTCTCCAAGCTTCTGTTTTTCATCATATCAAAACAATCCAAATAAAGTATGCCTTGCTAATTTATCAATTTCAAACCCTCAGATGGTCAGAGCTCTTTACTTAAAAAAATAATCTGTTCTAGGCTCCTTCATTCATTTTTTCATCTATCCACCCACCTAACATTCATTTATCTAACAGTCACGATTGCTTAGCATTACAGATGCAGTGTGATCAGAATGTACTGCATTCCTAGACCTTCCAGACTACAGGTGAATATCGACTTTAAATATGTAGCCATTATTGTGGTGATACTTGTTGTGAGAAAGCAAAGATAGCATGAAGGAACATAACTTGGAGATCGTTCTTTTCATACCTTTACTTCTGAAATTCCACATTACCACACTCTAACATTTTAGCTTTTACTCTCCAGTAACCCACTACAGCCAGATTTCTTCTTATCTTACCACAACTTCCACATTTGCTGAAAATGGCTAAGATCAGCAGGGAAACTTTGTTAATTCTCATTTTCATCCTTCACATTAATGTCTCTCTGCAATATTGCACATTGCCAATGACCTGTTTCTTAAGACATTCTGTTCCTATGAATTTCACAGCTCTATCAATTTTCTAATTTCACATTGTGCTTCTTTTGCTCCTCAAATATTGGGAGGATCCTTACAGTTTAACATTTGAGACTATTCTGTAGGTGTTTTTATCCATGACCTCCTTTATTCCTATACCATCAATTTTCATCTTCACATAAGGACTGCTAAATCCATAGATCTGAGCCCAAACTCAGATGCCTTCATACTATGGGCATTCATTTATTTTAGATGACAATTTAAATTAATTAAAAATTACAATTTTAATTCCCACAACTTTGTTCTGACTCATTTTGTTTTGACTGAAATGACAACAATACCCATTTAATTTTCTTGAATTAAAATTTTATGTTTCCATCCACAATATTCTTTCTGACCAAATTTATTTTTATCTATTTTTGCTTTCTTGTCTTATCCCTACTTGTCAAAACCTGGTACAAATAATACCCATTCTGAAAACATTTATTGGCTGTGTAATTCAGGTTGAGTGGCTCAGTTGAATAACTTTTTCATCCAGAAAATCATATTCATCTCTTTATATAACCCGTAACAGTCTGAAATTTATCTTCAGATTTCACTGAACTGGACTTAAATTCTTTGTTGAGTACCCATTAACTGTCAGAGAGTTTGGTGCATAGGAAGAATTTGTCCATTAGGTCTTTAATTCTTAAATTCTTTAAACACTCACAAGCTTTTTGACTATATCCTTGAGGGCTTGCTTTACCTGTTGGTTTCTTAGGGTGTAAATGAAGGGGTTCAGTAAAGGTGCAACTGAAGTGATGAGTAGAGCTACTCCCTTGTTGAATGCATCCCCTCCTTTTGCTGAAGGCTTAACGTAAAGAAAAAAGCAGCTTCCGTAAGAGAGGGAGATGACAATTATATGGGAAGAACAGGTGGAAAAGGCTTTTGTCCTTTGCTGGGCTGAGGGTAGTTTCAGAATAGTTCTGATGATGAATGTATAGGAGAAAATCACCAGTATTAATGTGACTAGCAGGGTCACAGATGCCACAAGAAGGACAACCTTCTTTAGGAGGCTCGTGTCTGAACAAGAGAGTTCTCGAAGAGGCTCAAAGTCACAGAAGTAATGATCCAACCTGTTGGATGCACAAAAGTCCTGCTGGCTCATCAGAGTGATTGGTGGTATAATAGTCATTAGCCCAGCCAGCCAAGAGCAGAGAACTAGCTGTGTGCAGACTCTGATGCTCATGATGTTTATGTAATGCAGAGGTTTGCAGATGGCCACATAGCGATCATAGGACATGGCAGCCAGGAGGTAAAACTCTGTTGCTCCAAGGAATATGGCAAAGAAATACTGAGTGAAGCAGCCAGTAAAGCTGATACTCTTGTTCCCTGTTATAATGCTGATGAGAAGCCTAGGAATAAAGATGTTTGTGAAGGAAATTTCCAAGAAGGAAAAATTCCGTAGAAAGAAATACATGGGAGTTTGAAGGTGGGAGTCCAGCACGGTGAGGATGAGGATGGTCATATTTCCAGTGATGCTGAGTATGTAGGTGAGGGAAAAAAAAAGTGAAAATTGCTGCCTGGAGCTCAGGAATGTCTGTTAGACCTAGAAGTATGAACTCAGTCAGCATGGTTTTATTTTCCATTGTTGGAAAGCTTTTGAGTCTCAAAGTGAAAGAGAGAGGAGAGTAATCAAATGGAGGAAAAAAAGAAAAGAAAAGAAGTACTCTGAAGTGAACAGGTGAAGCAAAATGAACAGGAGAACAAAATGAAGTGGACTATGAATTTTTTCTGTGATGGATGATCCAGACTATTGACTTATTTTAAAGGTGTCAAATGCTCATTTGTCCCATATAGGAAAGTTCTTGCCATTATTCCCCTGCTTGGTCCTCTCCACAGTTTCGACGTGAACTGAATGCCTACCACGATGAAGTTCAATAAGTTTATGTAGTCAGTTAATAAAGAAATGACTCTAGGTGCTGCCTCCTGCAGAAGCCTTACTAATTTCTTTCTCCCAGCACTCACTTTCCTTACTTCCCCAAGACTCTATGCATTGGCCTATTTTTTGTCATTTAACTCTTCTCAGAATTGCTGTTTTTCTTAATATTGCTTGCCTTTTTGTTTTCCTTTGAAATTATAACAATCTCTCATTTTTCTTCTGGTTCAAGTGCCTTAGTTTTCATGATGCCAAAAATGTGCCAGCTCCTCACATCTTCCCAATGGACCTATAGTCTTCTCTGTCTGTGTTCTTTGCAATTCAAGATCTGTTCATTAGGAACATGCTATTATTCTGTCCTTTGAAACATTCTAAGTGCATACATAGAGGGTAAATACAAATTAGGTTAGAATGATACGAGTTTACTTATGCAAATGCATTCAGAACCTTTACATCTAGTTTCACCTTCTGGTAAGGCTAAGATTCTATTACATTCCAGCAAATTCTTAGGAAACTTAAGAATAGTTAAAGTAGGAAATCACAAGCAGGGTTTCATTAATTTCTAGTTTATATTTGCTATGTCTGTTACTGCACTAAATCGCATGTAAAATATTTTGTATATATGTGTGCATGTGAGTTTTATGGAGAAAGTGCATAAAACTATCATGTAGGTATCTTGGGAGGCTTCATATTTGAGACCTCATGGGCATTTCAAATGTCTATTTGTCAGCTCATGTGATTAAAAAACCACATTATTGAGCAAATTCCTCATTGATTTTTAAAAAACTTTTCCCAGGCATTGTTTTTATGACATTTATAAGGCAACAGTTGCAATATTTTTGACCATAATTAATTCTACATTTTATATATTTTTAGTGAACATGTATGTTTAACTTAAATAAAAGTTTTGTGGAATTTTTCTTACCATATATGCAATGTTATTTTTGGTTTTATTTTATTGTATTTAAAATTTTTTCAAACATTGGTTGCAACACACTATATTATCATCATAATCCCTAGTGGGTGGCGGTCCACAGTTGGGATTAGGGATGAAGAAAAGTTACACGGGAGGTAAGAACATAGCTCAGGGGTAGAGTATTTGCCTATCAGCTCAAGGCCCTGGTACAATCTGTAGAACAGAAAAACAAAGTTGAGCTGAGGAATGTAGCTCAGTGGTAGAGTGTCTACTTAGCAAATGTGAAGGGCTGGTGATCCTTAGTATTACCAAAGTTACACAGTGCCCTAGACAGCCACATTCTGGAGGTTACCAACCCGGAGTCTTCAGGGAGCAGTTGAGTATTCCCATCTGCATCCGTTGCAAGTGTCATAACCACAGAGAAGTAAAGTCAGTGAAGCTGTAGGCAGGGCACGTATTTCCTCACTTGATTATCCAAATGGTTATAAAATAGTATAAAATTAATTTCATTTTCTACATTGTCTGCTTTCAATATCCTGATTTGCATTTCACAGAAATCCAAAAACTTCCAGAGCTTCTCTTGTTAGAAAGGCGTCTTCTACTGGTCTTAGTTTATTTTAGTGAGAATTCAACATCTCTGCTTTTCAACTCATTCATGCTGGAACTGAATTACAGTTTTTGGACATCATGTCCTTATGAAGCAGTCCTCAGGTAGAAAGCTAAACAGACTATGAGAAGCAATGTAACCTTGGATTTTCCTAATCTAGGAGCAATGAAGATGATGACCTCAAAAGGCAGAACCATATGAACTCCCCCGTCCAACCCCTATTGTACTTTACTCACAATGACAAAGGTTACATATGTTCTATGTAGACATGCACAGTGGGATCAATTGAGTGAAATAACTAGGTGCCCTGGAGACCCTTATTTGGAAAAGGATAATGAATGTCCTTTGCTGACAGCTTTGGAAATGCAAGCAGCTGAGGAAAGAAGGCCTATTTTGAGATGTACAATGCACTGTCAAGAATTATATTCACCCTAATCTGTCATAGGATATCAAAAATTCTTCTTAGAACATTGTGCCTATTTGTCTGGACCCTCCCTATCCACACTTTCTCCACAGTCCTAAGTGTGTTGTATTCATTATTCCACTGTTGGCTTCTTTAGATCACCTTTTTTTTCTTTTTTTAAAGATTCCAGGTATGAGTGTGATCACATTTTTTTTTTCTGTTCTTGAGTTATTTCACTTAATATGATGTCTTTCAGGCTCATCCATGCTTTAAAAAATGACAGAACTTTATGCCTATGTATGAAATATGAATAGATAACATTTTGTTCATTTATCCATTCATTGATAGGCCTTTGGGTTCATTCCATATCCTGTAGCCTGAATGTTGTAAATAGTTTTGCAAGAAAAGGAAGAGTGCATGTGTTTTTTCATATCATGATTTTATTTTCTTTGTATATGTCCCTCTAATGGAATTGTTAGAGCATATGATATCAATTCCATCTTGAATGGTACAAGAAACTTCACGTCTCTGAATCTCACTTTCCTATTCTGTAAAGTGGGTATCATAATGTTCATGAAATAGAATTATAATAGTTAACAGTGTAAGTCAATATCTGATATATAGTATATGCCCCATGAATATTTCCTTTTTTCTTTTCCAGTGAAGGAACTACCATAAAACTACATTTTGCAATAGTTTCTTTGTTTCTTTCAAATGTTTTTTTCCATTTTCCCTTTTTTCTTGTCCCTTCCTTGCTTTCTCTTTCCCTCCTTCCTTGTTCCCCTTCCCATTTGTACACTTTCTTTCCATTTCTCAACATCCATTATACATCTCAGTCCTTATTTCCAAATTCAGTTTCTCGTATCAGAGAAACAATGTGGTATTTAAACAAGTGTGTCCGATTTATTTCACTTACGAATATGGTCTTGGGGTCCACCCATTTAGCTGTAAATGCCTGAAGCTCATCCTTCTTTATGGCATATTAGTACCCTGTTGTATAGAAAAACCATATATTCTTTATCTACTCATCAGTTGATGGACAATTGAGCTGTTTCCAAGATTGAGCTATTACAAACTGTGCTTCTATAAACATGGGTGAGCATATATCACTGTGGTATGATACTTTTAATTCTTTTGGGAAGATACCAAGAAGAGGTATAGCTAGGTCAAATGGAAACTCTAGTTTTAGTTTTTTGAGAAATCTCCACACTGATTTCCACAGTGTTTGCAATAGTCTACACTCCTACCAGTAGTGCAGAAGGGTTCCTTTTCCCCCACAGCCCCTCCAGCATTTGTTTATTGGTTGATTTTTGATAGCAGCCATTCTTTCAGGAGTGAGATGGAATCTCATCATTTGCATCTCTTGAATGATTAGTGAAGTTGAACTTCTTTTCATATATTTATTTACCATGTCTAAGATTGAAATTAGACCCATATCTTTCACCATGCAGTAACCTAAAATCAAAATGGATCAAAGATATAAATATTAAAAAAGAAACACTAAATCTGTTGGAAGAGAGAATAGATAGAATTCCTGAGGACATAGGAATAGGCAAGGACTTCATGAACAAAACCCAGACTGCACAGGAAATACTACAAAGAATCAACAACTGGGATCTCATCTTGCTAAAAAAGCTTTTGCACAGTAAGAGAAACAAACTACCAAGAGAGTGAGGAGACAACCCACAGAGTGGTAATACTTTTTTGTTTGTTTTGGTACTGGGGATCAAACCGGGGTCCTTGCACTTGCGAGTTAGGCTCCAGAACCACTGAGCTAAATCCCCAGCCTGGGGTTTCTAACCACAGACTATTAAATACACCTTATTTATTTATGGTCCCTGGGATTGAACTCAGGTCCTTGTGCTTGTTAGGCAGGTGGCAGCACCACTTAGCTAAATCCCCAGTCCTAAATATGTCTTATTTATACTTTCAGTTTCCCACATGAGAAAAACTACTTGGTATTTACACATGTGTCCTATTTATTTCACTTGAGTATTGTCTCATTGTATATCTGATTAGCTATAAATGCCTCTAATTTCTCATTCTTTATGGCTGAGTAGTACTCCATTTTATAGAAAAAGCACATTTTCTTTATCCAGTCTCCAGTTGATGGGCAAATGGGCTGTTTCCATGTTTCAGCTGCTACATACTGTGCCACTATGAACGTGGGTGCACATATATCACTGTGGTATTATTCTTTTCTTTGGGGAAGATGCCTAGCAGGGTCATAGCTGGGTCAAATGGGACCGCCAGTCTTGGTTGTTTGAGGTATCTCTATACTGATTTCCACAGTGGTTGCACCAGTCTACACTCCCACCAACAATGGAGAAGGGTTACTTTTCCTCCACAGCCCCACCAGCATTTGTTATTGGTTGATTTCATGATAGTAGCCATTCTTTCTGGGGTGAAGTGAAATCTCAGCATTGTTTGCATTTTCATCTTATGAATAACCAGTGATGTTGAACATTTTTTCATATGTTTATTTGCTATTTCTACTTCTTTGAGAAATGTCTGTTCATTTTAGATGCCCATTTTGGGACTGGATTTTTCAATTTGATTTTTTGAGTTCTTTATATATTCTAGGTAGTAGACCTTTGTCTGAGGAACATCCAGTAAATTTTTTTTTGCATTGTGTGCTGTCTCTTTACACTGTTGCTTTTTCTTTTAATTAAAGATTTCAAACATACATGACAACAAGAAATGAAGATACTAAATAAAAATTTCAAATGTACATATATATGATAGCAAAAAAGAATATGAAACAAACAAAAATTTATGCAACAC